ATATATATGTATATATATGCCTCAATAAATGCCAAGCAGAAATATCTTCTTTTCTTTTGCGGAGAGAATGCGAATTGTATTTCGTTCAAGTATTTGTCCGTTGCTCCACAGGAACGCTATAATTGATTACTTATTAGTAAAAAAAATTGCAGAGAGGTCTACCCGGCAATCCTTTGCAGTAATTAAACCACGTGTGTAATCACCGCCACGTACTATCTTCTTTAAATCCAGGTCCATCACCGGTGCGTTTCATGAAGATGAGAGTAATGGCACGTGCCCCTATGTATAACTGCTTTATCGTTTAGCTCTTATCACGTTACTCTACAACGCACCACATACAAATTGCTCCAACCATTCATTCTCACATGTGTTGTATGGATTAGACGCAGTACGTATGACACTACCGTCTTTAAGTAGAAGTATACGGCCATATACTATCACCTTACAATGTCATATACCTCGATAGCCGTCACACTAAATTGCTTATTCTCCTCTCCTGTCAACCATTCATTACCGTGTGTCTCACTTATAAGACTCAAAGTGTGGTGATGCGAGCGCGTATATACAAATATGTTATTTTGTATACGACCTTAGGCCTTAATCCGTCACCCTACACCGTCGTACCGCCAAAATGTATTTCCTATTCCCTTCGACTAGACAAATTATGACATACTGACTGCACTCAGGTATGGTACTGCGTACGCGTATATACAACTATTTTATTAACTAAAGGGCCTATTTCGTCACCCTACAACACCATATACCTCGATAGACGCCACACTAAATTGCCCATTCTCTTCCCCCGCCAGACATTCATTGTCATATGTATCACATTGGTTTGAAGCACCCTTAGTCAGCGATTCGTCTATCCATAGGCCTTGGAACCCGTCACTGAGGCCGAGGTGCAGTCCTAATTTATCTGTCTTCATGAAGTACTCATTCTTCCTGATATGTGTATATATGTGGGTATCGTTAAGTAGCCATAGTTGCCTTTGCATGTTCTCACACGCATATGATTGTGAATCGGACAGACCGTCATTGCCCTTAGGTAACGCAGAATGCTAAGTCCCATCACATACTCGAATATA